TTTTGGAATTGTGGTATGTTTGTGTTGCAAATGAGTTGTTAGTTTGGAATAATTGGTTAGATCGTGTCAAGGGACACATTCTCTCATGTTCACCGAACAATATCCGGAACAATTCAGTCGCTATCTTGTCAACATATTGTACACAAATTTAAATGTTAACACTGTAGTATTACTCATTGGTGTCACGGGCTTCAATCAATATTGCAACAATTCAGAATAAATCTCACAAGATTTGACGCCTATTTGACGCAACCTTGATTTACATTCAAAGGTGCTCAAAAATTACTGGGAAGCATGTTAGTTTATGATCGTAAAGTTAATGCGCCATCAGGCGTCCTGTTTGATTTGGCGAGTGTAAATATCTAGACAAAACTGTAATGTTTGTATAGTTTCATACAATTACAAATTAAGCATATGCCGTTTATTCCAACTTAATAACATATTAAGGAAATGAAACATTGACTCTAGAATAAATATCGTTTTAAAAACTAATTTGATAACAAATATCCAAACAGAGAAAGCTGAATGTCTGGTAACAAGTAGGCTTTGGAGTCATACAAAACTTTCACTATGCTTCTAGCGAGTGTAGCAACCAAGCAGCATTAAATTATCCTTAAGGTTAAAAATAAGATATTTTTATCAATATCCTGGTGAAATTGTAGATCATCAGGTTTTTTTCTTTTGGCTTTATAAACATTTCCAGGTCATATTCAATACATATTCCTAACAAACGAATAATACATCAAATCCTATGAAAGATATAGTGTGTCCGATAGATAACCCTGGCTTGGTGGGTTCATAGCCTGCAAGAAGAAGTATTGTGCTAGAAATTATAGGAAGAACGGCGAATAATAAGTGGCTACCAAAGAAAGAGAAGTAAATATCCTCGACAAAACATTAATTTCAAGTAAACTCCCTTTTAAAGACACGGTAGCGATCCATCTGGTTGATCAGGTATTAATTAAATGCTATTTTACAAACGTATGTATCAGCCCATTTGATTTGGTCGCTGAATTCTCATGTTGGAGAATGTATACAAAAAATTGAGTTCGAAATTGATGACTCAAAAGTAAAATTCCGCCAGGTAAAGCAGCTTCATCTATAACCGCCATGGTAACCTTGGTCAATCAAAATAGCAAATGTCACTTTTACAAATGAGGAAGAGATTAATAACCCCGAAACCACAGGGCATACTTACGAGCATAAAGAAAATCTAATATAACGGACCCAGCAGAAACTATTCCTGTATAACTACGTTATATAAATAACCTTAAACTCTAGACAGTTAACTGTATTTTACCATATTTTGACATCCCGTGTTCTATAAACATTGTGCAATGTGAAATATAATTTTACATTATGTTCGAGGTATTCCCAGGAGACGGTATAATGTATGGTGCCGATATGTTTTTTAGTCAGGTTACTATACTAGGATGATGTGATAGGATCACTTGTTGACACGACTGTCCGATGATAGCAGTCACACTTTAAGGTTATGGTTCTGGATATCATGATACTATCATTGAAATACAACATGAAAAACAGATGAGGTCATAACTCTTTCGATAGATTTTCTCAGCAGATTTTGCAAAACGAGTTTCCTGGAATTCTGATATTCTAACGACAAAAGCACAGCTCGCGATGTATGGCACATTTCCTAATTAAGCACAATGCTATATCTAATGTGCCATCTTTCACTTTTATGAAAGGCAGTGGAATATCTTATTTAGTTTGTAAATGTCATCAGGTTTATTCTTATGGTTAAATAGTTACATTAAATGCCGGTAAACAACATGCGACTTCATGTTAACTACCTTGCTGAGACAGCAACATCGATGCGGTAATGCATCGCAAATACCGTGTTTTATCATGCCTCGGCGCGTTCGAAAGCTCGCCATTTCCGCTACTAGCTTTACAAGTTAAAGAGCAAAATCGTGTAATGATAATGCTGTTAAGCCTAACTAAAAAGAAACTCGGTCTGGAGCAATGATTTTGGAATTATTGGTTTTGATCAACATCGGCGATAACGGCTAAGCGACGTTTTGGCCGCGTTTACAGGGCAAATTGAATTTAGGAAAGCTGGGCGATAAACCGTTCCTAGGAAGTGTTGAGGCTTTGATCCGGTGTGGATAACGTATCTAATTCATTAATTAATGATCTGATTAATCTAATTCAACCAGCATGAAATGGAATAAGGTTAATTCGTAGGTAAAAAGTAATAAAAAGTATTTTCTTCTCTAACATCGATGTGTTGTGATCAGCCTGCATTACATAAACATGGGGATTTATGGAGCAGTTATTCACAAATGTATATATATATATATACAAGTCGATTCAAGTGTCATTGATCGATCATCCAATCAAATTAAATGCAATTTAGGGATAGGCTTTTAAGACTTCTCATAGCAGCGACTATCTAAACTATCTACCGACGACAAAAATAAGCTGACTTTATCTACCGATATATATTTGATGACTGTGGTCTAAGTCCGCGTTTAACTCGTTAACGCACAACACTGTTAATGAGGTTGGTCACGGATTGTTTATCGATCAAATCCGAATGACGATAGGTCCACGGACACGCCATTCTTGTCCATACCTTACCTCCAGTACACTTCCACGTGCGTGATCTTTGTCGGACAGGATATAACTCCGCCAATACTGTTCGTCTAATTATACAAACGTGATATTGAATCAGACTACTCTTCGGTAGTGTGACATCAGATGTCAATTCAGTACTCAATACAATCATTAATTCTATAGCATTGTTTCTCGTCAAAGTCTCCACACTGATGCTCTATAATTGAACATTGTATTTTCTTTGCATTCACACAAATGATAAAAATGTTTGATTGATCAGTTTTTGAAGCTCTAGATAATAAAAACACGTTTTGTTCTCCTAAATGTTAAATGATCGGTGGCGATAGTTGACATGGCTAAGTAACTGATATAAGAAATATCGTTGATGTTATCTTCGATAGTTCCTTGAGTATAAACTATTACACAAGATGCAAAACGGTTTTAAACATTTTAGAATCATCTAAAACTACTAAAACAACTATAATAACTAACTGGAAATGAAACTAGATGCTTCTCCTTGATCCGTTATGTATATTTCACATTCCAAATTGATATCACAATACTATCCTTCTAAATATCATCGTTTTTGATGTTGTTGGAAGTAACATGTGTGTGGCAATGGCTTTGTTGTGTTTTCGGTTTTCATTCCACAGTTGTTGTTTTTACTATTGAAACTCTTATTTCTGTCAGGTTTTGTAATCAAGCATCAGTCATAACATTAACCGTAATCACTAGATACAGAGAAACACACTTCGTTTAGCTAAATAATGCTTTTTACTTGGATTTTTCTGTTCTATAGCCAGACAATAATCTTATCTTTAATGAAATAGAAATGTAAACATCCACTCGTAGATTCCGTGATGTTGTCAGTTCTCATGGCTTCTCATGCTCTAACATAATTTGGTTTGTATATAGATATATAAAGATACAAGATTACCTCTTCAACGAACTTTTACTGGTACAAGATAATGTATTTACTAATGTCATTGGCTAAAGGACACCTTGTCAGTCAATATCTTACATAATATCCATGTACTTAAAGGATTGATCGCGTACTAAATAGTCTGTAAGTTTAAACGCTTCGCTGACGTTGATGCTTTAACGAGTTTAACTTCCGACTGGTTCTATTTAAGGATTCATTTTCTTTATCATCAAACGATTTCACTGGAGGCGCACCAAGTATTTATTCGTCTTACTAAAAGCCATGCGTTCCTGACAACTGAACCTCCCAATAAAACGACAGCTTTTCAAGGGATCAACTAGAAAAGACGGGAGTTGTGCTGCTAAAGCTGATAGACATTGACTGTGGTGTTATTTTTTTCGCAAGTGGAGGTTACATAACAGAGATAGTAACAAAATATTAAGCGTCTGTTTATAAGATTGGATCGGCAAAAATAATACTTTACCAATAACATGGATTAATATCACAAAACTTTTACGCTTTAGATAAACTGACGTTTTATTTTTGCTAACTTATTAAGGCGAATCTTATCGATAAAATATTATATTTACATTTTGCTTAATTTGACCTATGATTCGCTTAAAACTGATGACAGTCTTTAACCGATATTCATACCACAATATTCAGTTCTTAACCTAGTATCACTTTTTTTTGTGGAAGTCCAAACAAGTTAGACAGAAAAGGATGTCACTGAGGGAATTAATAACAATTCTAACGAAGGTGAATTTACTTAAACTTCATAATGTGAATGTATTACAAGAATTTAGAACATTAAAACGTGTGACGTTAATGGTGGTTTGACATGAATTGGAACTGTTCCTTATATGTTTTTAAATCGGTGTTGTCTGATCGGATATTTTTGTTTGTTTTTGAGAATGCACAAAGCGATGTAATATGCCATACGTTTCATGCATGTTGATTTTTCCATCAATCGAAATACCAAGAAAATTGATTCATACCAACCGTACATGCTAAATTGCGCTTGTATGGAGTCCAGGATAATAGAGAATAAGTGACATTTCGGATTTATCGCTATCTCATCCATGACAAGTGAGTTAAGACTTGGCAACAAGGTCTGTCTTTGTAGCAGTAGGGGAGGGCCTGGTTGATGTGTTTATTTGAGAACATTGTCTTTACGATAGATAGTGTTTCTCTATATAAGTTTTATTTGGACGTATGCAGAACAATTCGTTCATACGATGGAAAGCAACTGCATAACAATCAAAGGAATAGTTTCCTTCATAAGAAAGGTCTGAGAACAATATTCTCAGTAAATGTTTTCGAGTTTAAATTATTAGTATTTTTATGTCTTTGTTAAGTAATTCCTTTCAAAGTGCTGTCAACATAATTGATGCTACAATATATATGTAATAAATGTGTATGGCAGATACCTACCAATTTCAACAATACCTTATTTCTGTATTTCATATGTCTATATCTGTATGATATTTCATTCCAGCATGGAGGATCTTGGCGACGGAGGAGTTTGATTGAAGATGCCAAGTTTGAGACAGTAACGAACATAGAGTTTCAGAAACGGGAAAAACACTTAAGTGTCAAAGAAAAATCTGGAAATACCACAGGATCGATTAGTGAAGAAGAAGAAGTGTTCATACAGAATGGGGATGTGTCCTCCACGGTGGAAACTGGAAACCTTGTGAATATCACCATCATCATCACATTGAAGGATGGCATTAGTTCTCTCGCCAAAATTTTCAGAGTATTTGAGGTAAGTTTGAAAAACATCAATCTCAGCTATTTTGTTCATTCTTATGTCTTTTTCTTTTCGAAATGCACGGTCCAATCCATTGCATGGTTACAACTACAGAATTGTATCATTTAGAATATGAATGGTTCGTGTGCAAACCGTAAAGTAAACGATATAAAGTACTTATATAGACCTTCTTTATTTACCATATTGATTTCCAAAACCTGTCAAAGATTTTCTGTATCCGTTTCATTGATTTATCGAATAAAAGGCTTGAACATATAGTAAAGATGTGAATATTATATAATAAAGCTTCTTTACAAAAGTTACAAGATTTGAAAATATGAAATTATCAATTAATTTAGATTCAATGTAATTTTTAAAAAATCAATTAGAGGAGTTCAATTTTGCATGAGAGTTGATTAAATAAAAAAGAGTACATATATTGAAAAAACAAGTCAGTGCAGTTTTATTAGAGGAATCAATTTCCATGTGAAGTTGAAGGGATGAAGTCAATCAGAGAGTTACTAGTCGAATGTGTCAACCTGGCATTTATTTGAAACTGTCTAGTCTTACTGTTACAAAAAAGAACACATTGTAATACATCATTGTAAGTACATGTTCTCTTATATCTGAGTCAATATTGGATCGCTTGTAGCAACGGCAATACAGGATCCTGTATCAACGTATACAATGGAACACTGAGCGGAGCACACTTGGATTGATTGGTCTTGAGAGGGTGTATTTTTAAATTTATGAATGGGCACATGTTACTCTAAAAATAGGTACGCAATCTATTCAGTGGTGACAAATACCTACGACCGATATTTAAAGGACATTGTTAAGCTTTCAATGAAATATTGTAGGGTTCCGTTTATTCATTCCTATTTGCATGACGTCACTCTCTCTGTATAACATTTCACTCATTATATCTTGGGAAAACACAAATAGAATAAGGAAGCAACTTTCATCATATAAAGGTTTTAAAGATTATTTTTCATGATATTTTAAAAGTCGAGAAATCGTTATTTGTGATCTTTTAAAGTGTGTCTGCCAAAGTACGCACAAACCTCACGTTCTCCATGGCAACCTAAAGGTAATAGCAATTAATTTTATTTTTGTCTTGTATTTTCCGTCACTAAGAAAAGGTATTTATGAAAGTGGCGTCTAATGAAAGTATTATCATAATTGGCTAAATCGCCATTTTCTGTTACATGACAGACGAATATCATAACAATCTATTTCCTTTTAACTTTTATGTTTTATATCTGTCCGCAATATTACGACATTCGTCATCACTAGGATAGTAATTATCACATAATAACAATCTGTTGTAATTTCAAAATATTATATCTATGAAGTTATACTGATTTATTTTAATGAATAGATCCTAAAGAGTACAACGGAAATTAATAATGGATTGATTACCTGCTTAGCAAGGAAGTTGTTATTCGCAAAGTTACACAGAGCACTCATGGAAATAAGAATTTTTTCAACTCATAACTAACAAACAAGATGCACAAATTTCTTACTTTTAATTAGGAAGAGATGAAACATAATAACAAAGTATTTTTGGTTCATCTCTGAATTATGTTTTATTCTTATCTCTAAAATAGCAGTCGTTTCGCTGATAAAAAAAATACTCAATTTTTGTGATGGACCATCATTCGGTTAGGTCTCAAAGAATACTAGATATATATAACAAATGTATTAAAATTCAAGAATTAGCTGTCATGAGATATTTTCGCAATAAGTTTATTGTTTTCACGATTTGTCAAGAGAAACAAGAGAAACGGACGTGTAATTCAGACTCAATATCGATACAGTTAGGCAAACCTGAAACAAAGATTTATGAGAATGCTACAAGCGAGTACATTAAGAGTGAAGTTTTGTTTTGCAATGGGTTAAGCGCATTCTAAAGAAACTGAAACACTAGAAACACCGACTGTGATATCAATACACAAGACTCATTCGTTACTATTCCCAACGATTTTTCACGGATAAGTTATGTGTGAGTCGCTAAAACAATCAGCCCTGTTGAATTGACAATTGTCTATGGTAGGACTAGCGGCATTGGCTCTACTGTTGCCTTTCAACCTCTCTGGAGTTGTTGAAACGGGGGTGATTGCTTGATGTACGGACGTGTTGTTTCTGTAAAGATTTTCTCATTAACTGGCCATGTCATCTGTACTTTTCCATGTATGATGTCAGCTGTATTCATTTAATTATTGATGAACATGCTATGTGCCTTAAGAACCCGTCACGGTTCATCAATGATTGTATTACACTAATTAACACTGACTTCCTATGTACTGATTTGATATTGAGTTTGATCTTATGCCAAATGCGTAAGTGATTTAAAAGCTGAAACTGTTTTATTTTCTTCAATTAGAAACATATATTTTCTGCGAGATTTGTTTTTATTGATCCATGACTTCGCGCCAGATCGTATGGGAAACACTTTCAGATTACTCTAGCAGCTGAGAATAGACTTGAAATGGTGTTGGCATTTCCATCGTAGTTACTTTCTCTAGAGTTATCCGTTTTAAACTTCATTGTCATATGAGACGCCAAATTCTTATTCATCTTACTTATGGGATGTTCATCTTCTTCCATCAGTTTTCCATCTCACGTCAGATTTATGGAACTCGTCACAAATGTTTACCTTCGGTCTCTTCTCATGGTGTTCGCACATATTTTGAATCAGTTTAAAACTGTTCTGAAAATGTGGCATCATATGGAAATACTGTTTATCAAATAAATGTTTCGAAACACAAACCATCAGTCACACCTAACGAATCAGCATGTAACAAAATATCTTTATCTAAGATATTTCTCTAAAAACTCGCAATAACATGTACTTTGGTCGATATGTAGTTTTGGAATTATCATAGTTGAGATTTTATTAATGTATTTTGGAAAAGTTTTGATTTTTACTCTGTATATGTTTTATTGACCTAAATTGGTATCTGTGTTATATATCTGTTGTAGTTTGTTTGAGGAGAAGTGAATAAAATCTTAAATATTTGTGGAATGTTTTTTGTCTGAAGACAACTTTGAAGGTAAAAGTAAAGCTTGTTCTTCAAATGCGTGTAAGAATGAAATAGGCCATTTCAACTCTTTTAATTAAAAATCCCAAGAAGAAAAAGTTGAAAAGAAAACAGAATAAGTTTAATTGAATCAAATTTAACTAAATTATATAATTTGTTTCTTTGCAGAACACCAAGGTAACCATCGATCATATCGAATCAAGAAAATCCAAGAAACCAGGGTGTGAATATGAGATTCTGTTACAAGCTGTTAGCACGTGTGAACGCTGGACGCCTGTGACAAACCTGTTACGCCAGAGTCCACAAGTGAATGACGTTGCGATACTAAGTGAGCAACCCCACCCGACAGAGAAAGGTAGATACGCATGTATTGTCCGTGTTTTATGTCCATTCTTCCGGTGTTATGGATGTCTGACACCCTTTATGCATACCCGTTCTACATTTGTTGATACACTGTGCTAGTTTTCGGTAAAAATATTTAACGCACTACTTTTCATAGCATGATATTGAGATGATTTCATAAGATATTGAATTCAACGGGAATTATCCGTAGGTGAGGAAATAAGCATGTTGCAATCCCATAATGGAAAGTTCACAACATGGAAGTCGAAATTATACACATTGGCGGTATCTTAGCACGATGTTTGTAGTGGTCATATTGAAAAATATTTGCAGTTGTCACAACAGTATTTGTAATGTTAATGATTTAAGTATGGAAAGGCAATAGTTATTTTTTTCCTAAACACCATTTATACACCTGAAAAAGATATTTAAGGGACAATCTTCTTGCATGTCATGATCAACTCTTCAATAAATCATGTTTTATATGGTAACAAAGACAGGGGCACAATATATTCCAATAAATGTCAACAGGTCGCAGTACCCCTAAGCACGACATAGCTACTGTAACTCAGGAATCGATTTCGCGAATCCATCTCCAATACACCCTCACTTATTCCTTTTAGCCTTGGCTATGTTCTAATCAAGATCGCATAAAACAGCAAATAAAATAAATAAGTAAGATGGATAAAGAAAACAGTAACCCATATATGATCTCATACACCACGCCAAATATATAACTCAACTTAGGACTAGTGTGTGGTAGTGTCCAAAAACGGAAAAAATGAATACGATAGACGTTTCGAAGGACAGATATTTAGATCATACGAAACATTCTTTTTACTCAACAAAGTAATTCAACATTAGGAAATAAAGAAACACTAACCATTTACTGTTAAATATTTCATGCATTCCTTATAAGTTTAGAACCAAAGTCTGTGACTATCTACCGTCCACTTATTTCAGTAGCGACACCCGAGCCCATTCCACATTCCTGCTTTGGTTCACAATGGACAAGATTATCTTTAGCGCTCACAGCATCCTCAAGCTTTGTTTTCCCAGCTCTAGGCAAAGCAAGAAAGTTAGTCTCGAAAAAGCTTCGAGGATTCTCCCGAAAATTAAATGGAACGCCTCATTTGGATATCACACCTTCTAGCGAGCATGCTTCTATAAGAAGAGGTATATTCAAATTAAAACCCTATCTTGTAAAGCATGCTGATATAGGAGCTGTGCTTTAATTTCTTTGCTTTCAACGGAAAATTGCTTGGGTTTTTTTTTTCGCTTTGATAATGTGTGAAAATATCAAATATTAATACCATCGTACGCTTCACGATTGGACGACGTGTTGTTTTGCTTTGTGTATATATATCTAGAAATATATCTTCAATGATTCTGAGGTCACATGGCAATTTCTTGGATGACCAGACCACGGAATAGCTCTGGACTGCCACCATATGTTGCATTCTTTCATGCTGTTACTTTGCCCTAAACAATTTTGTTTTTGTCGGACAGCTAATAATGACTAACAGAATATTTGCATATAAAATTGAGCATGTCGTCGCTCGAAAATATAATATGCTACTATATAATGATTTCAGATGATAGAAGATATGTATTTGCAAATATTAGTCAGACATTCAGATATTTGGCAGATGACGGAAAGAGGCTAAACATATTTTTATCTCACCAGTTTTGCTTCGATTTCCAGACGATTAACTTCATTATTGATGCTTATAAACTGGATCCCACTATTAAGTTTGGAATGAAGGTGGCTACTATGAAATAAATAAATAAATAAATAAATAAATAAATAAATAAATTATGCATATATCTTTAAAACAAAGAAGACAATATTGAAACAAATTTTACGTATGAGACAATGTAAGAACATTTAGACACAGGTGGTTGATGAACGATGCCAAACGCGTGTGTCGATATTCATTTAACATTAAATGATGCCGTAAATTCATAAAGTGCTGTTAACATAACCATATCATCAATTGTTTACTGTATCATCACATGAGCTACCTCTGTGTTCGTAAAAATATATATGTTTTGACAAAAGTAATCTTGGATATCTGTCTACTTTCAGATGGTTGGTATCCGCGCCACATTTCGGAGTTAGACAACTGTACCCATTTGGTAACTAAGTTCGAGCCCGACCTGGATTATGATCATCCGGTAAGTGATACATAATTTTCTTGGACACTTTCGATCTGCTGATGAATTATCCCACATCTTTTCCAGACCTTATCGATCGTGAGTCTCATCATTAACGCTAGAGAAACTACCTTTCTACTACCCTATAAATCAGCGACAACCCTTAGCTGTAGTGTACAGTGCCATTTGCCTTGTCAGGAAGAGTAATAAAGTCTTCTATATTATTTGTATATATGTAGATAATTGTCCTGAAATGTTTTAAGATTCGAAAATAAATCTTGGCCCTATCAACGACCGGAAGTAGTTTACAGTTTAATTAATGCCGCTGTAGTTAGCTAATGGTTGTAGAGTTATCGCAACTTCCGACTCTGGTCTTTTGCAGGGATTTACGGACATGAAGTACCGTGAAAGGAGGAAGGAGATCGCCGACATTGCATTTGAATACAGAAAGTATGTAAACTTAAAAGCACGACAAATAAATCTATCACACAATGGGCCACTGGTTCAGTAAATGGCCTTGCTTTTTATCTACGCTTCTTGTTTGCCATTTGTTAAAGAGCCTGTAAAGAAACAACTCTTTGAAGTTATTGTTAGAAAATAGATAAAAAGAATAAACAGTTAGATGCTGGTACCTAAAGGAGAGAGCCATAGGGTAAAGGTGGCCAGTGCTTGTGGGTGTATGAATACATTATCAGATATCAATACGGCATTCGAGTGAACTTAAATCATCTTCCCGGTTCGACTGTTTTTTTATCTCCCCTTGGCTTGTGTCCCTTTTTGAAAATGAAAAATAAGTTTTTATGAATGCAACTCAGATTGTGAATTACATATAAAATTCAATATTCACTTCAATGTTTAAGTCATAAAAATATATCATTTTAGGCCTAGATGTGGAATAACAAATCAAATTCAAAACAAAACTGGATATAAATAAAATATGGTATACATTCAGTCAAACAACCGTTAAAATGTCGTTTTCCTGTTTTCTTAGTCCCTTTTTAAAGGGTTATGTCGGCCATTTTTGTATGACATTGTTATCTCGTTACCATTGGCGACCGAGGATATCAAAGTATCCAGATATACTTCAAATGATAACACACGAAGTAATATTTGTTTTTATGTTTCAGTGGACAGCCTATCCCGCGAGTGGAGTACAACGAAGAAGAAACGCGAACATGGTAAGTCTTTTTAAAATTAATTATTGACAAGATTAGTCATTTTCTGACAAGGACATCTTTTCGTTGATTGTACTTTGTTGTAGCTTCAATAAATAGCACGCTTTATTCCTATCAATTGTTGACACAAAATTGTAATGTTAGATAAGCACATCTCTTTTTCGCTATGTGTACGATTTTATGTTTATTTCTTTTAATTTTACTTTTTTTAACGCGACTTTTACAAGGACATGTCCTTATTTAATAAAAAGTTGATATTCTAATCAACGTGAAAGTGAAGGTTAAACGTAAAACCAATCAATTTCCCAATTTCTGTTATCTTCTCGTGTGGTTTAAAATTATGTAAAACAATAAAATTTAAATTGTTGTATGTCCCCTTTCTATCTGTTTCCTTAGTTTAGAGGTTGTCTATTATATTTTGCTCTCCATGAACGACACGTTCAGCATCCGACGACTTTTTGATGTAAATGATGATTTTATAGTCGTCCTTGTGTAGTCATTAAGGGTCTTATTTACCATACAGTATTGTCAAAACGGATCAATAATAAAAACTAAAGACAAAACTTTATATTCTTTTTTTTTAGAAAATGTTTAGACTCTCAAATTCATGAGTTCCCTTGGTAAAAATAATCACCTTGCAAGAACATGCCTGTAATTGATACTCTTAAATGATAATAAATGATAATAAAAATGATTATTGAACATATGCTCAAATGTTTTCCAAATCAATTTTAACAATTTAACAGAAATTTGAGTAAATAGTGAATAGAGAGTATAGAGTATTTCTCCACTCTTTAACTAAAAATATTGGTATACCATTACGATAATTATTATAACAGTTAAAGACACTATTGACTTTCCTATTGTTCATTGGATACAAAGTTGTTTCCAATCATTAGCTTGTGTGTGCAAACAAATTGTCATTAATATCATAATAGACAGACTAAAGCACTCTAAAAATGCGATTATATGGCCACCCAAAATAAATAATCTAATTGTCCTACTGTTCTAGATTATACATACACCCACCCACAATTACAAGTTCCTGCTCGGGTGTACATAATTTTACCATACTATATTCCGTGTTAGTAAAATGGCCATTGTTACATTCATGTTATTACTACAAACAGAGCGAGATAAAGTAAATATCAACCTTGATCAATAAACAAATATACAGCGCTAGACTAAAGCGACGTGTGTGTCACACCGTGTTGTCTGAACTCTGCTGAGCATACAATCTGCTGAATTATTAATTCATATCAGTTACAAAATTAAATCCCTTCGAGATGAAAGTATAAATCATGAAAAAAAGTCTCTGGTCTGATTTCACTATTGACACAACATTAACTAAAACACCCATTTATTTTCGTGGCATTCATTACACGAGATGGCAGTTTTCAATGTCGGTATTGTATGGGTTCGATCGAATCTATCATTCTGTATTATTGTAACCTCGAACATCAGATTGTCCTTCCCCGACCGTTACACGATTGTTAGCCCAAATCTCTTTATATCCATCGACGAAAGTCACGGAGGTGATGTTGAGCACTTGCAATATTTGACATTGAAGATAAGTCGATAAATGTCGTCTGCAAACTTAATGAAGTGGTGCATTTATCTTTGTTGTAAACCTAAATATAATGTTCTGCAAATACGCCATCTACACAAGAGTATACTTCCAGCATTAGCTGAAAAGGATGGATCTCATGTAAATTGAATTACACTTAATGCCGACAGTTGTATCGTCCCTAATCCAGACTAGAGGAGATATATGTTAATTTGTATGAAGAATATTACGTTGTATCAAGTCACGTGAATACGAACTAGTACATTATTACCAATGTTTATCAATGTTTTAGTAATGTCAAAATATATATATTGTAATAAGTGTCAGGGGCATTTTGATTCATTTATAACAACACTTTTTGTGTTCGTGTTTATATACTTATAAATATGTTGACTCTAAGGAAGTTGTGTAATGTCCAAATATGAGTTTATTGATGATTTCTAGGCCGTGAGTGGATTATGGTATACAATAGATGATGATAATAATAATAATAACAAAAATCCTGTTTACAGCGAGCTTTAGGTCCTAACTAATTGAAAAGTACATTGTGCATATTTACAATAACACAATAAACGTTATTAAATTGACTGGCGACAAATATAACTCTCTTTTGCTACATTGTACCAAATACAGGCAAGTCTGTACTTTGGGACTCGAGACAGTGTCATACATAGCAAAAACAGTTTACGTAAGAAAACGACGTTAAAAGGTTTATTACGTAAAACGGACCTACTGTATCATGCGAGACTTAATCTGAGAACAATTGATCAATAGAACTAATATAACTACATCAAAAGTAATGCATTTACACAGAGATTTATCAGCATTGGTACAAAATTTAGGGCTGTAAATGGAACGATACCAGTTCTAACATATCAAATTGTCTCTGAACAAACTAAGAATGTCAAAAGAATGCAGAAATATTCAATAAAATGAAATATGTCAAAACCAGACAATTTTGACTATAAATTCTATGTGATAATTATATAATAATCTAGTATGGTGATATCCCTTCTATTATTGATATTTATCAGTCTCCTTGTGTGGCTGTGCTAATTTAGTCTAAGAAACCTTAGCATAAGTGCGACGTTCTTTCATTCATATTATCAGCCCGTATGTAAGCATTTTCAACACTTATGTCATGGTCGTTAGCCCGATATCAATGCTATCTTTGACTTTGCATCTAAGATACTAAGAGACATGAATACAAGTTAGAATTACAAATAATAACTCACTTGGTCAGTGTTTATTTACATTATAAACAGTTTTGATACACACAATCTTATGCAAGGAGATTTCGTTCTACAGCTGCAGCAAGTTCTATTTCAAGTGACAAATACCATTGCATATACATCGTTACCATATAGGTGTCTGATTGGTAGCCTATTGAAAGTTGTCAAAACATCTTTCTAATTGGAGGTGATCTACATTACCTTACGTTGTCGAAATATACAGTACAGAACAGTAGATTCTGATGGATATTAATGTTTAATTGCAGGAATCATGTTTACAGTCGTCTTCAGGGCTTTTTCCCAACACATGCGTGTAAGGAGCATCGGGACAATTTCGAACTTCTTGAGAAAGAATGCGGATACTGTCCAACCAGAATTCCACAACTAGAAGATGTCTCCAATTATCTGAAAAGTGAGACGACATTTTAAGTGATGAAGAAAAATTTCTAGAATTATTTTTTAAAGTCTAGACTGTACATAGAGATAAATAGATTATTTCTCCAATGGTTTGTTTCAGGTTTGACATTAATATTGCTTTAAACCATTTTTATGTACATTTTACACAAGTAGTCTACAATAATGTGTTTTTCCAGAGATTTCAATGTCTGCTTATAAATGCTAGATGTGACGCTTTAAGCTATCTAATGTTTATTATTCTTGTAACGATGCAAAACCAATTGGTTTAAATTCCTTTTTATAAAAAAGCTGAAAACATTCAAAAGTCTCTCTAGAACAAGTATTTTTTTTACTCTCTATCATAATCAATTAGGAAGGACCGGGTTCCAGCTCCGACCTGTTTCCGGACTTCTGTCTGCGCGTGACTTCTTGGCTAGCCTTGCTTTCCGAGTTTTTCAATGTACTCAATATGTCCGTCACGGATCAAAGCCTGACCACTCTCCAGAACCGTAAGTCAACAACTATATTTATCTAACATCAGCGGATTCGATATCGCCCGCATTTTACATTCGTTATGTCCTTGACGAGAATTAACTTGTCGTATCTGAATATAGAAATTAGAAAATGTTTAACGTAATCACTATTTATGGGGAACTACTTCCGCACAGAAATGTAGTTCATTGATTAATTTGGATTGCTCTGATACACGAATGGAAATCAAAGCAATATAAATTGATATAAATCGATATCATTAGCATCTCAGAGGGTGATACCTGGGTTGTGATAAAGTCTTAATTACATAGAATAATACGTATAGCAATGTGCCCGCTATTGTTCCTCGTCTTCCAATGAATGAACGCTTTATAAGAAATTTTACCAAAGGTTTTTACCTTCTAACCAGAGTATAGTCACTGCTCTCGTGCTGATACTTAAATTCTACTGTCCATGGCTTTCTTGATTTGGAGTTTAAATTGCGAAATTTAAAATAAATTTAAATAACAGACTTGTAAATTTCTTTCTCAGTACTCAATCAATAATGATATATTTAAACAAAACATCCAGTGTGAAATCGAATGAAATCGGTGTTTTGTTACACAAACGTGAACATATCCCTGCAATAAAATTATTTATTAAAAGATAGGTATTGTTTCATCTTGTTACATCATACAAAATAATACATTATGGTAGAGCTGAGAAATTAAATTGGTTTTGAAATAAAAATTTGCATGATTTCATAAAACACACATATATATACCATATGCTGTTTTTCTTGTTTATAGTGAAAGATATTAGAATAGCGTACATATACAAGTGGTGCACAAAATCTCATATTTCTAACAATAAAAGACTACATGTTGACGAATTTCACGCGGACAGAAATTTTACGGTCAAACATTGTTCGAAGTTTTACTTGGGAGCAATTACCTAGATGACAGAAATTATTGAGACCATTACAATATAGGAGTCCCTCCCGTGATGCCAAACACCAACACGATAGGGGCCCCAAGCAGGCCTGGTCTGGTTTATTCGCAATCTCATTTTATCCGCAAAACTAGCGAAAATAAAAACCCTCGAAAAAGCCAGTGATGTAGCAATAATGCATGCTTGTATGCTAAAGCAAACTCTCGAATTTCATTGAAATATTTAATCTCACTTTTGTTTTTACTATACTACTTAAAACATACACCCCTAAAAACATTTGCTACACCACTGATAAAAGCTATGACACATTTTTTGTTTGTTTTTTGTTTTTTGTTGCATATGAAATACAAATATAATATTTTACAGAGACTGCATCCATGAACTTCTAGGACATGTGCCAATGTTAGCTGATCCAAAGTTTGCCCAGTTTTCCCAGGAAATTGGTCTCGCTACACTTGGAGCCTCGGATGCCGATATTGAGAAATTTGCAACAGTAAGATCAAATGAGGAACATATAATGAAATGCATCCGTCTCTTTGAACGAATATTATTGCCTCATATTTCAGAGAATTTTATACGGCAACAAAGGGAATCGGATAGACAGGTTTCAAGTCTAAAGTGATATATTCCTGTACTAGTTCAGATAGGTATACTACCTTGAAATATTTGCATGGCCAGAAATACCTTTTGATCTAAAACACACTTTTACAGAGCACGGTAATTGTATTGTCAAGATATATATTGATCGGGATGATGTTCCTTTTGATCTGCCATACATCAAGGTGGATGACTTCTGGAGAAAAGATACAGCTTTCAAGTGCTTTGATCGAACTACTTCTGCGAGAAGACTTTAAAATTCCTTTCTTCTTTAGAATAATGATGTTAATTTTTTCACGAGAAAATCAAACCGAACACTCAATAATATCTTAACTTAAGCATTTTAAACGCTCGAGTCACGGACGTATAATTTGTACTTACGAAAACCTTTTATAGATAAAAGTGTTGATACAGGAGGACGAAACGACACGGATCCCTTAGAATAAAAATACGTTTTGCGTTCATTTGGTATGTTGTTTTATTATGATTAAGTCATTAGAATGGAGCACGAGCTCCAGAGGTCCAAACTTTGGCTGTAGAAAATTCATTTCACGCTCCAAGCAGCTTCTAAATCGTCGTATGGTATAGTGCAAGCTTAAGAAATCTGGACTGGTCCCTGTCTTAGTCCCCATATCCTTGTTTACAAACAATTTTAGCTTAGTCATGTTGCAATGGCTTGATTAAAACAATTACAGTAGCTTAGAAAACCTCAAAGTGCTTAAATCAAAGGTCACGTGGATTGCTACTGGATTATTGCCTCTTTAATGCTAATGATCAAATATTATTTTGACCCATTTGGTCGGTATAACGGCTCTCATCCATATCCATTTGTCGGGACATCTTCTCTTTGGTTGGACAATTAACGTCTGTTTTTAACAGTATTAGCCAATCAGGTGCCTATTTCATAGTAATGGCTAGACTAACGAATCTTAGTGATAATACTTTGGTCAATATATAAATAAAGACAAGTTAATGCATTGTTCTTATTTATCGATCGCCGGGTAAAACAAAAATTTAATACAGCTATGATTTATCGATTTGGCAGGTCTCCATCAAGATAGACTTAATTTAAATACACAAAGTTAAACAATAAATTAAAATTACAATGACAGATTTATACACAAACGCTTCCATCCGAAAATATTACTTTTTATCTTTACCTTTTGTAACATTTCAGTCAGGGTAATTCAAGAAAGATGTTGTTCATTTTCAGAATCAGCATAGTTCTCAAAAGTAAAATTGATTTAGTTCTTGGCACAAAAAATGCACTTAATTTGTATTGTTCCAAATATCATTGGTCAGATTAACACCACAAACGCCCTGTGGTACATTTTATGATAAAGAACATTAACAAATATGATCTTAATTTCTTTAAGTTGTTTTTATGACCACATAAGCTATCGTTACATTCCAAAATATTGATGTATTTTTCAGTTGTACTGGTTCACAGTAGAGTTTGGCCTGTGCAAAGAGAATGGCGAATTGCGGGCATATGGAGCAGGAACACTATCGTCGTATGGAGAGCTTCAACACGCACTGTCGGACGCTCCAGACCAGCGTCCTTTCGATCCTGCTAAGACTGCCGTCCAGGAATACACAGACGATGACCTTCAGCCAATATACTTCTACGTGGAATCGTTTGACGACATGATGCAAAAAATGAGGTAAGCTGGGGTAATCTGTCCGTATTCTTTACTTGGAATAAATACATTATGGGTCAGCTAAGGGCTTGTTTATGACTTTTGGGTTATATATTCTTGCAACTGCCAGGGTCATATGAAGACGTTGTCCATGGATGACGGGCCACTGACCATGATGGTCACTGTAATAATGTCTTCATGTCACTACCTGGACACAGAATCATTACACCATATCCGACCACATTATGTCATCAATCTCTCCGCATCCAAGTCAACGTTGAGCCAAGAACAAAAGAACCATTTCATGACTTCGATCGGTCATGCCGCTGTGCCAGAACCATAGTTTTTCTCGCTTATTCGGACGCTATGCACTAAGGTTAGAGTTAAGAAGTGTCAATAGAGACATCAAGACGCAGTAAAATGTTGAGGAAAGATTCCAAAGACGAAGATCCTCACAATTGGTTCCCTCTTACGATCATTAATTGGTGAAATTGCGGGTCCAATCCTTACGCCCTATCTGAATGTCGCTCAGCGAAGGGACTTAACGACAATGAACGAAAGGAACCATTCATCATAATGACTTTAACAAAATCAAAATATTATCCAACAAGACAAGAAAATCTGCCAATTGCCAATTAGTGTGATTACTGGTGCAATGGGTGATGTTATGTCCAAATAGGGCGGTACAAAAGACACACGAGCGAAAAGAACAGTTCAATGCAGATGAATTAATAGAAACAGGTACTCCAAATGTTAACATAAACATCATTATGTATTATCATTCTACGGCTCGTCTTTGGTTTAGCAGTCGATTCTGTGAACACATTGAAGGCGAGTTAAGAAAATTTTAATCGACCGAAATGTTGGAATTTAGATAGAGAAACAAACTAACTTCCCTTATCTAATTTCAACCAAGTAGACTGTTTCCACCTTATAACTATAATATTATGAAATTAAAGTGAAACTTTCATATGACAACTCACCATTATTTGGAGCAATAGAACGAAAACCACGTCGTATTGGAACTCTGCCCAAGGTTGGAGGCCTACGTGTGCTTTCTGACCCTATATAATATGTGTCAGATTTTTGTATCGTTACAAATCATTCACTGATGAATATTTCATAGCGTTGATAATAACACGTTTGTAGGTTTGGGAAATTTATGGCAGCTGTTTATTACAAACGAGCAGCACATATTGAGAACACCAATTTAAACCATATACAGCCAGTGTTTTATTCATAATCTTCATCGATTCTTCGGTAATAAGTGAACTGCTGCTTAAATCATTCTTTTTACATGAAAATAACACGACACCCTATATATGTACCTCATATTTCACAAATCATGACGGGTAATCATCCGTCAAATCATATTAAATTAAATAAAACATTTATAGAGTGACGTGATTCTAAAACATTGTTAGTTGATACAGAAACTAACGCTTTGTCTGGGTTCCAATATTCCGATCGCAAATTTAAATACAGACTGTTAATTTTGGTTACAAACACAATTTTCCTATTCTGTTTCAATTTCTTGATTTTTGTCGAAAGGTTTTTCTTATTGTGCACTTTCTAATACCTTTCTTTTATCATACTGTGGTTAAACAGAATGTTGGTGTGTGTTTACATTTTCCCTGCATGGCAACTTAAAACATCTCTGAACTTCTAGCAACGATTCATGTGCACGTAATTGGTGATGTTTTACGTTATCTAAATGCCATGGTATTCCATTGATTGAGAATTGAAATGTAAGTTTGGTGCATCTGTCCCATCCTACGTTTGGATATTAGATATCTTTGATCTGGAAGGCCCGAATGTTTTCTTCTTTATAATTTCAAGTTTTTGGTCCAGACAAAGTAGCTGTTACATACAGGTTAAGCATTTATCAGAGAAGGATTTGTGATATCGTTTCGTCTGTATAATCCTTGTATGTGAAATAAGTTGTTGCTGAAGTCTGTCCGTTTTGGATCCTCTTGAATATATTTTAATTATTTCGTATTATTTTCCCTGAATCTTACTGCCATAAGTCCATATAAAGTCCGTTGATCGTTTAAACGAGTGTATAAACTTGAACGGTATGTTTTTTTTCACTGGAGTTACAGGGCTTGTGAAGCCTGCTATTGTTTTTCAAAGGGTAATGATAACATTTGTCGCCTACGTGATTCACCGTGGTACAAACTAATCGTAAAGTGCACAGCATGTTATATGACCGTTCCCTTCGGATCGTCTGCTGTTGCTCTGAACACCATCGAACAAATTAAAGTTCATCTAGATATGTCGAGTGTTCGATGACATGAAGTAGTGCGCCATGATGCCTCCTCGGATACTAGTCACACATTCATGCGATCTATGCTGATTTGGGTATGATAGATGAAATATTTCACCAGTAACAAGGGTTATCCGGAAAACACGACAGACAAAATTTGAAAATAAATTTCATCACAGAAATGTATCCTTAGGTATCCTAGATCTGTATTGCATCACCTATTTTGACAAATACAAAAACATCATTGTAGAAATTAGTCTTCGTACGTTCTTCGCATTGTATGGTTCAAACGAATATCTATAATATTGTTACAGAGAAATTATCATAACTTTGGTCATTATTATCAGTCCGTCATCACTATTCCTTAACGTGTATAAAACTAATGAAGTAGATCCTGGTATGTTAGGCTGGAAAATTCATGAAGAGTCATTTTTGGGACACTAGATTGTCACTTCATTAATATAAATAGCCCGTGATGACGGTCAAAATTGATTTGCTTAAAATTTCGATAATGAATGGTCTTGAATGGCAATATTACAAACAGTTCTAGTTTCTTGAAAAAATATCTGTCACTTAGTATATATTTGTGTCAGTCTAAGTCGTAACATAAAACTACCAGAGACACAAACAAATGCACTGATAATACCCCAGAAATCTTAAATTACGGAAATTGGATTGACTCCAATTTTACTGACGACTTGTTAATTGTTCGGTATAGAATGGCGTCGGAAATCTAATACATAAAATTTGACCTAACCTTGAATACTATAATGGCAATTATTTGATTACCCACATCAGTGCAGTAGAGTGTAAATCCACCACGTCAACTCTGTATCAAACAGGACTCACATTCCATCTAACATTTGGAAATCGTGATAGAAAAATAACCCCCCCAAAAAAACCTGGCGTCATATTACAAACGAGGTATTCAATAATGGATAGAAATATGATAATGCCAATAGGTTTCTGTCATAAATAAAATCATTTGTATTGTGTTAAAATTTGAATCAATTGTATAGATTAAACGACGCCAACCATAGTGTTAAATCAATCGATTCTATATTGTGATAGCTACATAATCTGTGTAGAAGCCACGGGGACGAGTTCACTCTGCATCAATCGATTCATTTATCAAATGTTTGTCAGTCTAATGGTTTTAATGATAGATTATTTTTCGTTATTGGTATATTCCTCCGCCTTTTCACGGTTGACGAGTCCTGTTTGCCATTGTGAGTCGATATGACATAAATAGTGCGTGATTGTTTTGCAGGACTCTTGTCTCCACAGTTGCGGACCATCACTAACATAGGTTTGAGACAAAACTGATTAAGATATCGCGCCCCGAGACTCATAAATTCACATGCTCTATTGACAAACACAGCCCTAAACATCTCTCATTTGTTATCTCCAAAGTCAATTTTGTAGCCTGTGTCTTTTGTACTGACTTTCCGTGCAATTAAATACAAAGAGATTTTTTAAATTATTTTTTTTTCTCTTGAGAAAATTGGTACATCCCTGGAAACGAATGAACACTTATTCACGTTTTATGACTAAGTCAGTGTAGGTAATGCTGGATAGTGAAACCGTTGTCTCACGCGACAGGTGTAACAAAGGTCATACATGAAAGAAGTATCAGGGCATCAGGGACGTTTACATAACGGAAACGACGGGACATGAAATTATTTCCGCCTTCATTTTCCTTTTCTACTCGCACCTTCAACTGAAAAAAATACTGTCTGAGTTCTATGCTTTCATGTTCAAAATAAAACCGTTCTTGTGCTGTTCATTTTGTTTCTTTCCAAATTTTCCATTTTCTAACTTTCGAAGAAAGATTTGAAACTGGGTTTAATATCAAGCTTAGGGTAAAATATAAATTAGTGATATTTTCATCTTGTTTAGCTAAATCTTCAGCCAAACAAGCATTTTCATTGGTCGTGACATTTTTCAGGTTAACACCAGCATGACATAAAAAATGGCGCGAATTTGTACGTCACTTTTGTTGACCAATGAGGTAGTTTCAGAAATTAACGATGAAAAGAGTATAATGTGAAAGTCAAAAGTATTAGAATCTTTGATTAAATCAAAAGGATTTTCTTCAATTATTTTTTTAATGTTTTTAAGACATAAAAAAAAAAAAAAAAAACGGAGTGTACACGCGTGCATCAGAATTAATCATGTCAGTTAGGCAATGGCTAAAGAGAGTGGTGATTATTTTTACTGAACAAATCTTTGTTTTATTCTTTCCCAGACAATATGCGGCTGGAATTTCTCGACGGTCTGAAGTGAGATACGATCCCTACACACAGACTATCCAACCGCTTGATAAAAAGGAAACGGTCGACGCCATTGCTTTATCCGTTCGGAATGACATCGACTGTCTTCAAAAAGCCACGAAGGGTCTGGAAACAATTCAAGTGTCGTAAGATTAGATTGACTAACCGGATACATACCTTTATCACTTTATTGGTCATGTTTGCTCCTGAATTAAGAACATTGTTATAATATCATCGTTTTGAATGGCATCCCATCATGTCATATCTTAGGATTTAGTAATATGACTTTGAAACGATTTCTGGGTACTTATGTTGAGTCTAAGTTATTAGCTTCTGCATAGTCTATCATATATGTAGAAGTGTGCGTGTTTGTAATCATGTGATATGCTGATCTGATGTCGTTTAATCTCAGAAGTAAAAATTAGATCTGGCTCTCTTCATTCCAGGAACTCGTTCCACCATAATTATACCAAGGACTAACCCACCCTCTAATTTTACAAAACACTGCTATTTACTTCGCAGTTTTCCGCTATAATAGCAGTTTAGCGCTTAAGATAGATTTTCCTATTTATGCATGTAGTGGATGTGCGAGAATATTACAACCGTGAACATGTATATATATTTTACAAATTGTACATTTGGGTCACTTAAGTAGATATCGGAAATATATCGATGATTTCATTCACATCTTACCTGTAATATTTGACAAATAATAACAAAATATTGTAAGCAAATAAGATAGAGTGACATTCTTTATTTTTTCGTCTTTTGTTTTTGTTTATTTTTTTAAGGGAGAGGGGGAAGGTGTGTATTTGATGATTGACGAGTTATGCCCCTTTGGTGCATTACAGAGTATATATATGTTACACCACAATCTTACCCATGTACATTGTTTATGACTGTATAAAGTAATTTATAACATGTGAATATTCTATATCAAGGCCAATGATTATGTTTCCTTTTTTCTCTACCATATCAGATTTTAGTACTGACGAAGATCTCCCGATATTGACTATTAATAACGACTACTGAAATTCGAAATGTTGTCTCCGTATAATCTTCCTTATAGACAGTTTTTTTTCTCTCAGTCTATCTGTTCCTTTGATAAAGGTAAATGATAAACAATTTAATCTGATTGTATCAAATCAGTCTGTAAAAAGTGATGATATATGTATATATGTATGTATTCTCTTTCATGCTACTGCTTTCTGTATAATCCATACGACAAATAGATATATGTGTCGGTATCACGTGATTGATTGGCCACAGAGACGCTAGGCTCAGATGTTACATCGTAGTGGACCGTTCATTGTCTATACACCAATAAATGGTTGACCTTTGACCTCTGCTTGCTCAAAGTGTCACAGAAATGTTTCGTATCTATAATGTTAATATAGGCTAGGGCTGTTAGTACATAGTGGTCCAAGCTTCTACAACCACTCAATAAATTCTATTGCAAGTTCTTCAGTTTTGTGTTTTTTTCTTACAATATCTTTGCACTGACAGGTAAGCTTCGAAGTGAAAGTTAAATGGACAAAGGGTCATTATACAATGATAATTCATCAAAAGCCCTCACCGGAGATAGGGGTTTGATATAAATGCGCCATTTTAAACACAGCATATCATCACAACGACATTGAAGGGTGGTTTTGAAGTATTGAAAACGTGAAAAAATGTGCTCTAGAAGGATTACTCAGCTCGCAGATGAACATATCAGTAATGAAAATCCTATCAATTCATTTGCCCAAAAATAAAAGGTGATTAATTTGAATAACAAAATGTCCCCCAACATTATAAACCCCGATGACAAGCTATGATACCGTTGCCTGGCTTGAATCACTGTTTATCATGTAGCCTACTGACAACAGCCGTTGATTAGAGTATAGATTTCCATGTCTGACATACACACATGCACTAAACAAACATTTTGTTTTACGTGATAACAAATGTAGTCATATATTTAAGAAATTGTCTTCCTATCTCTCTACCTCCACGATTTAAATCTCGATATGGCTATTCAGGAATCATTTATTAACCGATTTGCTGCAACTTCGCAAGCCGAACCTCGGAAACAGATTTTGGATTTTCGGACTAATTCAAGCAATCTTCCTAATAAAATGTCTCCACTTTATATCCGAGTGACGAAGCTATGTCCCCTACACAGTGTCGAAATGATAAGCCTTACATGCCCACTCTTTTCCCTCAATGGTCACAGATACGAGAAGAATGTCGCTCAGTCTTAGTCTAAACAAAACAGACTTTATTTCAACGACAAACACGAACCAGCTGACTGCAGTTCACCAATAGTTATTAAAATGATTACAGTAACTGGTCACACTTCAATGCTGCAATGTAGGAAAAGTTCCAGACACGCTTGAGACGACTGATGTGTTTCAATTTTAATTTGCTATAATTCAAATTTAAATAGCTAAATGTTTTTGGTCATTTTGATACAATGTAGATATATGATGCGTATCTAATATTGGAATTGAAGTGATTTAATGCTTGGCTAACTTGCTGTCTCACACAAACAAATCACGTCAGAATGCATTTCAGCAATGACCGCCTGATGTCACTGTCGGAGACAGGCGATAAACAAGCACGGCGATATGTCCAAGCCTTCATATCCATTGAAAATGAATAGTTTTAAATTATACCAGAGAATTCCCCGGAGTTGAGCTGACCAGCGAAATAGAACGGCAAACACATCACATTAAAGTAAATGTATGTGTCTGTTTCAGTTTCAAATTACTCTGAAAGCGTTCAAAGGACGTAGATTGTGCGCGCAGTGTGCAATGCTGTTCCAAAAGTGAACTAAACAGGGACCCTGCCTATTCTAATGGTTCGTATCAACCGGAACACTTCGAACGAACGGACTGTTTCCATTTCAGGAGTTTAGGGGACAAGCAATTGACATTTTTCAAATGGAAGATTTTATTACATTTTATGAGGCATGTCTTAAACAAACTACATGCTTTTAATTACGCGACCGTCGATCTGTAGCAGCAGTTGACTATTTTGGGAAGAAATACACCAAGCAGGACTAATGTACAAATCCATGATTTGTTGAGCTCAAGTCAAAATTACCAGTCAGTGTTGGTCATACAGATGGAATTATCTAGTGGCGCGTTTTAAATTGCAAGTAATTTTGTTTCGATCATTACATAAATACACTAGATTTAATAACACAAACTATATTAGTGTTCAACAAGACAAATTTTATTGGGTCCAAATGAACGAATGCTAATTAGTAGAGTTAAAAAGAGACAATAACCTAATAATGGTTTTAAGCTTTGATTCAGTGATTGAAAGAAGCAAAGTAACGCCTGAATGAAAATATATTAACGTTCTTTATCATAGAAAGTTTCCTACTAACAAAATTCTAAAGTGTCAGACTGAAAACAGAACAAAATTGAAAACATTAATTTTACATTCAATAGGGGCATAAAAATGACAGACAGAAGGAACACATATAATTTCTGGTTTCATGCCATATTTCGAATTGATGATGAATTGAGAGGTCGAGGTAGTCCCATCTTTTATGTTTTGTTGAGATCATCCGCTTGTACAAAGGACAGACGAGACATGTCATACACGCTGCCGAGCCATGCGAAGATAATGCATTAAAACAGTTAGTTCCGGCTGTCATTCCATGTCGCTGCAGCCATCTTTCACTTTCAAACTTCTGCCTCTTATCAAAATGGCTGACACTAGGGTAAATGTAAGAGGTACGTAATCTTACTGCTATCATATGCTTTCCTTTCGTAGATTTATCAAGATTTAAAATGTACGAACAGGATGTTATTTCTTATTTTTGTGCATCCTGTTTACAAGTTCAGGTGAAACTACAGCCGAAGAAATATTCCGGGACAAAAAGTTATCGCTCAATAATTGTCTTATACCCGTTTTGTCTCGTAAGAAAACTAGCTACATATTCTCACAGGTTCGCCAACGTAGCTTAGGTATTGCCCTGTCTGAATCACATGGACGTTCGTTACATGTATGCGTAAATTAAATGATATTCCAAAACATATTACCAAAGTTAACTAGAACTGTCGCAAGGATGCCGACTGATAGCCCCCGCTCTCCAGTCAACAGTAGTTGTGGAGGGGTTGTCCCAACAAGATTCCTCCAAAGTGTCTTCGTTTGGTCTTCCTGGCAACCAAATGGAGACATTATTTTTTTCGAAGTTGATATCATTGTCATTTCCCTAAACCTTTTTATACCAATTTCAACTTAATTAGATAATATATTAATTTCGACCAATCGGAAGTCTACAAAGTATTATTATGGTAACGGTTTTGAAACACCTAATATGTCAAATTATAGGTTATAATAAGATGTAGCATTTGATCGAGTTGAAATGAAAAGTGAAAGGGCAAAACTATATATCATAGTGATGTAGCATGTCATGTTTGAGAAATATTGCTTCAATACTTACTTAATTAAATACACTTGACACAACATTCCAAACAGAATTGATTCATAAAGGGGCATAACTCTAACAAATGTTGTCGAAATTTCACGAGTGCGCAACACAAGTGAAAGATAAAAAAAAATGACATACGAGTGAAATATGTTTGTTATTGCTGGAGACGCTATTAAATATTCTATCAATTTCATTTTCAAAAGAAAATATCCGAATTACTGGCATATATAGAAGAGATCTAAAAGGAGAAAACTTACTAAGCTTTTCGCAGACATTACTCACTCATTATAACTTCACAACATGCGAGAAAATTTGGTCATTTTTTTAAAATCATGAAGAATATGTTAACACAAAAATAAATTTCAGTGTAAATCAATTTTTATATCTACATAGAAAAAGTTACTTATTCATGTCACGACCAGACAAACTTTGCGGTAAAACGTTGAGAGAGTTTAACTTGTGATAAATTACTACTCGGCTGAAAATATGGCGGCAACCTACAGCTGTCGCTCTGTCAACGTGTTAGCTTCACATTCAAGACGTGTGGTTTGGGATTGGGTTTGATGTCTGATAAGGTACTTTATGTTGCATTGTTTGCTGACTTTCATTGAAATGAAAGTTTACCGTGTAATTGAATGTCGTGTTTCAGGTTACTGGCGAAGAAAAAAATAAGAAATTAAGGAAAGAAAATGATTATACGTTAACAATAATAAGTTGTTAT